AGGAATGCCAGGCAGAGCGACAGGACTGCATTTCTATAAAACTTTGCTTTGAAGTTCATTAAGGGAGAAAAAAATCTTGCAACTCCAAAGAATATTTACGGATTTTTGTACGTATCACAGGCTCAACTAGTTTTGCTTAGATGAAAACTACCTTTATATTCAGGGAGAGACAAAGACATCCAGAGTTATAGAATCCACAAAACAATTACCACAACTGCATATGCAGTAGTCACACAGCTTCTTCGTGCAAATCTCGGGGAAAAATACTCAGTTTGTTGGCACTTCTCATGCAGTAACATGTTTGTTGGACATCTGCTAACTTCTCCCATTCACTCACCTATTTCCTCCCATTTGTTAGCACTAGCTGAGCCTTTTTTCAGTTAAATGGCAGGGAGCAGAATTTTCCCTGCTGAGGAGTTCCTCAGTGCAGCTGTTCATTGCTCAGCTGACATCATAATGTTCTGGTTTTGACAAACGTAACTACAGGGCAAATCATTTTTCCCTGTCACAGGCGAAAATCTACGAACGGGAACATCATTTAGAAGTCGCAACAGCAACTTTCACCTCTGGGAGTTACTGGCACACCTTCTCCCCGGAAGTCAAACCCCTGCAGGAGCAATAGCCTTGAAATCCTCTGCATCTGGGAGGAACACATGCTCCTGCATCAGAGGCACGATGATACCTGTGTTTCTGGCTCAGAGACAGACTTTCTTGCTTTGTTGATACATATTACTCTACTGCTGGCATCCTGGCTCCCATGGGAGGCCTTCCTTCATCAGCTGCCCCAGCTAAGCCTGCCTCCGTCCCTGCGAGGCTGGCTGCCGAGAGGCCAGCGGCAGCGCATGCTCGTGCTGGCTGTTTCACTGCACTGGCACTGCAAAAACATGTCACCTTGAATTTCTACCCCTTACACTAGGCTACGTCCCAGGCATCACAGTGCTAAGGGAAGGATGCCTGTAAAATCCTTTCCTATAACAATCTCCTGTAAGAGAAAAAAGGAGATCACAGCGTGCTGCAAAGCACTGCCTTCTCTTCCTATCACCTTCAGCCAGGCCGGGGGGTCTCACCATCCCCACACTTTCCTTCCTTTGCACCAAAAAGAAAGAAGAAAGGCATTTGGTCCTACAGTATCAGCAGTGGGAAAAACAGACAGATATTGCTAGGGAAAGCAAAAGAGCAGTATATTACACTAATCGTTTTTATTGTTTAAGCAGATGAGAAAACCTGTTAAAAAAAAAACAAACCCATGTAATTAGAGTCTCTGAAGTAGGATATCTACCCAATTTCTAGATTGCATTAAGATCACTAGGGACTGGAATTTTCTCCTGCAATTTGCCTTTATTCTCTGAGAAAGAACTTTAAATAGTATGTTTATGAGGCATCAATTAAATCTATTTAACTTGCATGTGGGTTAATTAACTGACATTATGAAATTTGAATTTTTTGTAATCATGAGTTTTAAATCATTACCTTTAATGAAATCAGCGTACAAAAGCTTGACTGCAATATTGCAATTTAAACACATAATTGTTACTAAAATGACAGAAAATTGAAAGAATCAAACAATTATAGAGACAAAACTATCTGCTCAGAAAAACCTAACCTGAAGCTAAATTACATATTGTGGAAAGGGTCGTTAGCATCTCTGCGAACCTTTGAAACAATGCCTTTCCATTAAAATACGTATTACAAAGCAGATTATATTTCTGTTGACACTACTGTACTTCAAGATCAAAGGCACAGACAGGTTCAATGTTCTGTTCTTGTTCTCTTTATTTCCCTCTATCTTTATGTGACTTTTGTTTTTTAAGCTACTTTTCTCTTTGACAATGAAACATGAAAGCCACACTGGCTAAAGTTTTGCCAAATAAGCACAAAGCTAACGCCATCTGAAAAAAAATGCGGAGTCCATGAATTTTTAAAAGTTCATACATAATATATCATAAAAGTGGGATGAATAATACGGTACATGGGCTTTAATAAAAAGCTCCTTGACCATTTCTCAGAGATTCTGAAATGTAATCAATACCCAAAGAGGTATCTTGGGGACATTGCTAAGATTTATGCTTTTTTGCACAGAGTGACACTATCTGCTTACTATATCAACTGAGGACACAATATCGAATTTCAGAGAACAGAAGGAAGAAGAAGTATTGTTATCTGCCTCAACAGTGTTTCGATTCACAGATCGGCTTTACGGCTCACCCATGACATCATACTTCAGCGGCAAAAGGGAAGGTTCCCGATGCGGGATACGAGGACAGCACAAAAACTCACATGAATCTGAGCATCAGCAGTTCGTGATTGCACCAAGCTTCTGCTTCTTTCTACTTCTGAAAGCAAATCCCCAGATGAGAGATCTAAGATGCGTGAATGGAGTTTCTGGGGGGGTAGAAGGGAACGACCAAAGCATAAACGTTTGTCAAATATGCAACAGATCAGCATTTCTAAAATTCCAAGCTCTGTGGTTAAATTTCAAGGGAAATGAATACTCTGGGGTAAAGGAAGATCTGTTCTAATTTGAAAGGCTGCTGTTGATGCTTACTTTGTCCAGGACTTCCGCTATGAAGAACAGATGCTAAAACAGCTAAAACAAACTGCTTTTTCTCCCAGTCATTGTTTTGCAACTTATCACTATTCTACACGCAACAATGACAAATGAACATGAATCCCACCATTATCTCTAGCGTCTGACAGGTTTCTGGAAAAAAAGTAAAAAAATGAACTACAAAATTCACATTTATAAATCAATCAACATATTAATGTTGTCTTTTTTAGGCGCTGTTACATCTTGAGTGAACGATTGTAAAAGTGACCCTATTTTTAAACAGAATTGATCTAGTGACGGCCTCCCTTGCACACATTTTAACTCAAAGTCATTAATGTCATCTGTTAGGAACAATTAATGTGAATAGAAAATAATTGCATCAGGGAACGAGGGACTCAGAGGATTTTGTGCATTAATATTCAAACGTTGTTTGATTACATACACAGTTCTTTATTTCCCTTTTCCTTGGGAGGACAGCTAAACCGGTGCCATTTCCCTCACATTCACCTGTATACTAATTACCAAGGCTTTCAATGTGCATTAAGCCTCAGTTGTTTTAATTGCAGTTTCAATAAGATCCATGATTTATGTAAACACCTTGGCTGATGACTTCAAAAAAAAAAAAAATCTGCTGTCTTGTCAGTCTTGGGACCAACACATCATGTTACAGATGTTATGGATCTGACTCATAGCCCACTAAAATCAATGAAAAAGGGCACCGAAAAAGCAAAAGGGACGTCTGCTCCAGACAATTTAGTAATTTTTTTATAACCACTGATTTTTAATTTGGGAGTCATTTCTCAAGAGTTGCATATTCATCTAGGTTTTATACAGGGATTCTTTAGCATGTACTAGCCTGTTGCA